TTTTCCCTGGAGCTGTTTTGTTTGGCGTTTGTAGTTCTAAAAATAAAGTTAGTTTCTTTTTGACAAGTGGCTCCTGATTTGTGCCATGCCAGACTTCGGCAATTTACTTTTTTAAATTTTTCATAATGCTCAGAGATATTCAAAGCATCCATTTACAATACTTCTCTTGTTATTTCATTTCTTCTTTTATTTGCCTCCCTCCCTCCCTCCCTCCCTCCCTCCCTCCCTCCCTTCCTTCCATCTTAACAGACCATGGATATCTCTCTAAACTGATGTGTCATCCCTGCTTGTACATTAGAATCACCCGGGCAGATTGTGAAGATCCCAAAGATGGAGCCCATTCTGAACAGTGGAATCTCTTTGGGCGCTGGCATCCTAAAAATGACCCTACTGTGCAACTTGGGTGGAGATCCCTGCTCTAGTCCAACACATGCAGATGGAAACTGTCCCTTCTAATGCCTGCATAATATTTCATACTGAGGATATACCAAAGTTTATTCACCTGTTTCCCTATTTATACACATTCAGGTTGTGTCTGATTTCTTTCTTTCCTTTGTGCTTTGAAATTTAGTGCAGAAAATTTCATCGTCATCCTGTTCATTTGGTGATCTCTCATTCTGAACAACTTGGTGCTCTTGGCCTTGAATCATGATCTACCTGGTGGTTCTATTACCACTCACAATTTCAACTGTTGCTTCGGCATGTGCCTGGTTTATCTTTGCCTGCTCATTTATTCATAAACATTTGTTGTCTCTTGTTTTGGGCATAAATAGCACATAGCTGGAATTTTAAAAAAGACCTCATCTGAAAGACTTTGTCTTATTTTAGAGGAGTATTAGCATTTTAAATAAAAATCTAAAGAAACACAAAGTCTTCAAACGAAAGGATCAATGAAAGGACATCTTGGTGGAGTTTCAGGACCAAGTGGGTTTGACAAGGTGGCAGGATGACCGCTCCCTCCCGGCTCTCCCAGCCTTCTCCAGTCCCTGTATATACAGCTGTCATACAAGGCTCTTCTTACTGCACATGCAAATTGCAAATGTAAACTGCTTCTTTCTTAATTTTATCACTTTTCCCCCTCTTAATTTGCAGGAGGCTTAAATTATTAGCACTTGTCTAAACAATGCAACTTCTCCTGGTATCTTGGAGGAAGTGTCGCCAATAACTTCCAAATGATGTCACCCTTGAAAGCCCAACTTGAAGGCGCTCGCTCCATCACAGGCATTGTTCAGAAAGCGCCTCGAGAATTCAGAGTGACCCGCAGCCCTGACACATTCGTAAAAGTGAAAATTGAAAAGTAAATCAGAAACTTCATTTCTGTGTCTGGGGCTCTCAAAACTGTGTATTCCTTGGGTACTGGATGTGTCTCATCAAGGAGGGTGGAAGCAGGCAGACAGAAGCAGTCTCCCATGGGGGCTTTAAGGATCCAGTTCCCTCCAGGACCTTTATAAAAATCATATCCTTAGAGGGAAATGAGGCACTGGGAAATCATTGACTTCTCGTCTCATCTTTCAGGAGCTCCTGACGGCAGCATTTATGAAACACTTGCTTAGCGCCAGGAACAGTGGTGAGCATCTGCACAGACCTCTTAATCACTGCCACAGTTCTATGGATGAGGAAACTGAGGCTCGAACAAGTGACGTCACTTGCCCAGGGCTACCCAGCAAGTCAGGTAAGGAACAGGAACTTGAGTCCAGGTCTGGGTAGAACCAGAACTTATGATGATATACCCACTTTGACAATCTGACTCTCATGTTGTGAAGGACCCCTTGAATTCTGGCCTCCATCAACCTCGCCTGTCTAATGAGGACCCCCCACCCAGCTCCTTTCACCTGGGTTCAGCCACCCCTCACGTCTCCTTACCCCTCTGCAGGATGCTGCACCACCTATCTCCCCGCCCAAACCCCTCTGCAGAGTGTGAGCTCTCTGAAGGCAGGGACCGCCCATTATACCCCTCTGTATCCCAAGCACCCAACACAGTGCCTGCCACAAAATGTGCACTCAAAAGCGTATATGATGTTCTCCCTGATTTCTTTCCCCTATTACAAAAAAATCAACCAAGCCCTTCTGATCTGTCATTTCGTTCCTCTTCAGACCAGTAGGAGAGGCTCATTTGGTCTCCCCTGATGTTGCTGGCTGAAAACACTGGATTGTCTCCACCCCGTTTGAGGCCTTGGGCATGCTTGCATTTCCTGTCCATAAATCCAGGACAGCCGCAGAGTACAGGTTTCTAAGGAGTCCATCCTGTCTGATTGCTTTGCTTTCAGAAACTCTCATCCTATGCCAATGTCAAGTGGATGGGTGGCTTCCATCAGCACCATCTTGGGTGAAGTTCCTTTTTCCCCTCTTCTCACTGCTCATATGGTAGCAAGAATAATAATTCACCGCTGGCTCTGCAAAGCCCTGGGAATGTGACAGTGGTATGGGCAAAGGGGAATAGAACCGTTCAAAATTTACAGCAGGGCTTGAAATTCAATTCTGAAGGGCCCAAGAAGGAAATGTCAGTGAGAGGGGTAGACCAGGCAGAGGCAAAATGGAGAATGTCTTTCGGGGAGGAAGCCTTTTCTCCCGTCTGCTCTGGAGACCACATCTGGATGCTTCCCCGGTCTATAGATAGCCCCGGGCAACCTCACCTGTAGCGAGGACCTGCATCTCTCCCTTCCTGAAGATGCAGCCGACGCAGAATGGCAGACACCAGTGCCCACTCCTCACCATGCAGCCAGCTCGGGGCTGCGTTGGCCCAAGGCTCCTGAACCAGGGGGTATTTGCGAAGCTCTCTCCAGAGAGGTTGCAAAACCCAGAAGGAATCCAGCAGTGTCATCAAGCCATCACACTGCACACTGGACTCTTTAAGATGCACTCCTTCTTCCCTTTGATCTTGTGCTAATGGATAACGCTCCTGGTATTTGCTGCGACCTAAATCCCTCACAAGGTTGCTGGAGAGGAGAACTGTGCCACCAGGAGAAGAGCAGCCCAGAATGTCAAGTGGAAGGTGCCGGTGAGTCCCCTTCCTGGAGGCCCCGCCCACCGGCTTGCATATTCATGGATGTCAAGTGCTCTTGGCAATGGCAGCTGGGGACGGAAATGGGCTCCTTTTATTGTGGGGCATTTGGGGACTCTGAGGAGACTCTGTGAAGTTGGGTGGTGGTGCAATGTCCTCTTCAGGGGCTGCTCTGTCCCTCCCAGGGTGGTCTTTTGGAAAAATAAGGAGTCTGAATCCTTCATCCTGTGCTCCTTGCCTGGATTAGTGTGGCTGGGGGAGTCCAGATATGGGTTGGGAAAGGCAGAACTTTAACAATACCTGCTGCAGAACTGTTCTAGGTGAGATTCTCCCCCTTTTCAAGGAGATGGGCCTGTGGGTAGGCTGGAGATGGGGATGCATGGAAATTTGACTTGAAAGCGTGCTGGGGACTCCGTGGTTACTGTCTGGAATGGCCTAGAGCATCGCTTCTCAAACTATCGTATGGCAAAGCACAGGAGGGTCTTGTCAATACAGGGATTGTTGTTAGGAGGTCTGAGGTGGGGACGCAGGGATCCAGCCTGCATCTCCTGCAAGTTCCCAGGGGGTGCCAATACTGAGGGTCTAAAAGGCCACTCATTAAGTACCAGGGTATACAGCAATGGTCCCCACACTTAGTTGCATATTAGAATCAGCTGGAGAGTTTTAAATACTCTGGATGCTCAGACCACACCCAGACGAGATTTAAAACAGAATCTTATTGGTGACACCCAGGAATCAGTATTTTTGTAAAGTCTCCCAGGTAATTTCTATGTGCAGTCAAGTTTGAAAGTCAACTCTCGCTACTGCACATTGTATCATCTGGGGAAACTGAAAAGGACCAATGCCTGGCCCCAGCCCAGCTGAATCTCTGGAGACCTGTGTGCTGCAGGGAAGGACCTGAACATTTCTATGCTTTATAAACTTCAGAGATGATTATCTGCATCCAGTAAATAGAGTTGAAGAGGGAATCGACGTCCACAGTTTGTTCAGACCCTGCAATCTTCTGAATGTTTTTTGATGCTATTTTTAGGGAAGTTATTACCACTCTTTTGCCTTGGAACTGTGACTTCTACACTCCCATTCACGTCCCCACCTCTTTAATCTTCCCTTCTGGATTGCAAAAGTAATGCCTGTTGATGGTTGGAAATCTGGAAATACAGAAAAGCGCACCAGATAAAATGTACCCAATAGTACCCCCCAATATAACTCCAGTTCCAACGGTTCTTGCTGAATATAACCACGGCTTCCTTTTTGGCCTATATTCTTTTAAGCTAGAGAGAATACTTTAGTAGGAAAAATAATTAACATGGTACCCACTCCCTTAACAAAAGTTGAGTTGTATAGCCCATTCTTCTTGACTCTAGGTACAACACCATACAGTAGATCTCTAAGGCTTTCCGTCTTGTTCAGCTGAATCTTTATACCTGTCAGTAACTCTCCATTTCTCCCTTTCCCCAGCCTTGAAACCTTCCCTCAACCCACTGTTTTTATAAAATCAACTATTTTGCATATCACAAAAAAAGTGGAGTCTTGCCATATTTTTTGTTCTGTGACTGGCTTATTTCACACAGCCTAATGTCCTCAAAGCCAATCCACGTTGTCACATTCTGCAGAACTTTCTCCTTTCTCAAGGCCAACTAATATTCCACTCTGTGTCTGCACTGGGGTTTCTTTATCTGGTCGTCTGTTGATTTGGGTTGACTCCCTGTCCCACATAGTGCTCTGATGAACATGGCAGAGCTAATCTCTTCAATGTTTTGGATAAATATCCACATGTGGAATTGCTGGGTCATAGAAGTCCATTTTTTTTCTATTGTTATATTCTTCTAGTACTTTTTTATTTGGAAATTTTAGAGTAATTTCATAGTCCGAGTTTCCATCTTTTCAATACATTAAAATCGCTTCTCTGTATCGTATTTTCTTCTGTGTTTATGAATGATTACAAATCATCATGATTCATTTCATCATTTTCCTACTCTCGATAAATATTTAGATTGCTCCCAAGTTAAATATGATTTAAGAAAATGTGGATGTGGAATACAGCTTCAGAGGGCAGGAACATCTCTTTGGAAAAACAGACTTCATACTATCATAGGAGGGCTTCATAACTGTAACCCACTTTTAAACACCCAGTTCCTTGCCTAGAGTAGTCATCTCATTGTTGAAGGAGTGAATGAATAAAATGAGTCATTGCATTTCCAGTGTTTAACACGGGCAACCAGCCCATAAGTCATTGAACAAGTGTTTGTAGAGTGAATACATGAGTGATCTCTGAACAAATAAGAATTCATGATCTATGGCTGGGATAGGTCAGGAGACTGACTGACCCTAGAATGCAGTTCACTTCCCCTACCCCTGCGAGCAGCCAAGCCCAATCACCTACAAATGCTTCCCAAAGTGAGGGCTAACATCGTGCTTTGCTCTTGGTACGGTTTCAGGAAATTAATTGTTCCATTTCTTAAAGACCTTTCCTGTGCAATAATTTTTAAAAAAAAAAATAAAAACCTCCACCCTAGCAATTATCTGTAATTACTAATGAAAACAGGTGTCTTAAATGCCTTTTCAAATTGAGACATGAATGGTTCATTATCCTAGCAGGCAACTACCAATATCCAATTTTCAATGGGATGTTGAGATCAAACACAATGTCGAGGACGGTGGGGGCACACAAAGGGAATGGGAGCTTCCTGGGCCCTGCTCGTTAGAAGAGATTTGGCAGAGGAACAGAGGTTGACAGCATTAAAATACGAAGCAGAGAGCTCCGTGGGGATAAGGAATGCGGCGTGGCTGAGAGAAGTACGAGGATGTCGGCGCACGGGGGTGAGAACCTCCAGTTCCAAAGCTCTTTCCGTGGAGTGAAATCAGCTCCACCAGGCCTCTGTCTCTGAGCGCAGGGTCTGTCTCTGTTGAGTAGGCACGAGGACACCTAGACTTATTTAGCCACAAAACTCCTTTTACACACAGGACATAAGGTTGTTGGGGGGGGAGACTATTGAAAGAACAGGTAGAGAGGGCTGGATTAGCCCAGGGATGGGCATGGGCCTAGAAGTCAAGGTGATGATTTCATTCTCCTATTTTGGCTTTAACCTTCTCTTGGGCTCTTAGTTTCTGTGGACGTGGGATAATAAAGGTGGACCTGGTGTAACAGGGTATGTAAGCACAGCAGAAATTAGAGCCTGGTCTATGTCTCCCTGTACTTCCTGTTGCAATGCATGCTGGGAATTACAACTTAGGAGCAGGTGCATAAAAGAAGGCGTGGCCACAGGAAAGTGGGGAAGTGCCAGAACTTGGCCTGGCCGGCTCAGGGTAGTCTCCAAGTGTTTGGGAGATGGACGTATTTGCTTTGGGGCATTGCAGTCCCTGTATCTTAGTTTTAGTTGGAAGGAGTGAGGTGGAGTCAATATTTGCTCTAGTTTTGTTCTTTGGGGATATCCTGTTGGAGTCCAGGAGATGGGGAGTGTGGTACCCATCCTCCTAGTGATATAGCTAGTAGAAAGCCTCTCCTGGACTTGGTGATTTCCACAAAATACAAGTCCCACAAGCTGATCTGTTGGAAGGTTTCCATGGTCTAACGCATTTGAGGAACATCACATACTCCCTTTCTCTCTTGGGGAATTTACTATGGAAATGGGCATATTCATGCAATGGAAGTCGGAGAGCAGAAAACCTGA